CTACTACTACTACTACTACTACTACTACTACTACTACTACTACTACTCCCACCCCCACTCCCACTCCCACTCCCACTCCTACTCCTACTCCTACTCCTACCACCAACACTAATACATACTATTACTACTTCTGCTACTACTGCTGCTACTACTCCTCATGCTGCTGCTGCAACAAAGCTACTTCTCACCCAACGCACCTACACAAAGTAAAAGCTCCAAGACCTGTTTCGATCTGTCCTTGCCCCACTCAGCATCGCCTTCCACTTGCCATGCCTCCTCCAAGAATCAGGCGCGTGAAGGGTGAACCAACAGCTCTAGATGCCCCCCTTGGTGTCCAAACCCTTAAAAGGCCCTGGAAGACGAGATCGTGTTTTCTCCGAATCTCCTCAAGTCTGCACGGCTTGGAGAAGCACCACGGCTTGGAATCGTGTCAGTGCCTCTTTCCCTAATCCAACATGAGGCCCCGCTCCGGCCCCTGAGAAGGCCACGCTCCAGGCCGTGCGAACCTGCGTGAGCTTTTGATCATGGACCAGCTGCAAGACCACTTGGGCCAGCTCGTCCACCTCTTTGTCTGTGCGGCTCATCTTGGGCTTCAGCAAGGGCTCGGCGATGATGAGGCCTCGCAGGTGGGTCGTCTGGCTCGGCAGAACACCGCTTCTCAGTCATCGGAAAAGACTTCGCTTCGAGGTCGCCACGCAGCCACCAAGCCACGCTCGACACACGTGGTGTAACCTCCACCGGACTCCACCCCGTGCCGCTCCAGACGTCCGTTCGGAACGTCATGTGTCTCCCCCTGTTGACCAAGACAAACCTCTAGCAAGTCCAACCACAAACAACAGATGTCCCCCGTTCCGAGTGATTTATGACTCCGTCCGAACCAGCTCCACAGGCGTTGTTCACCCCTGAGGAGGACCTCGCCGAGCCATCCAGTGGTGGAACACCGCTTCCCACGCAGGGAAAGGGCGTTGATCTGTCGCGCCACGTGGTTTCGGCGCACCTGCCGCTGCGCCGGCGCCTAAAAGCAGGCACCAGAAAAGGCAGCAGGCCACACAGTAACAGCTGCAGCAGGAGCTGCCCTGCGCTGGTGAGAGCTTTTGCGTGATTGAACCGATTGACAGGGGGGAGATGATTCTCATTGATTTTCCATCATCACCTTCTCCTCTTTCTGCCAGGTTTCAATTCGGCTTTGGCTTCTGTTGCCCTGCAAGTGCTCACACACAGATGTTGTTTCAATCAAAGTAAAAGGAACGCTTGTGCCAGGACCTTCAATTTCGAGGGCCTCTGAAACCCGACCACTTACACCAGACTCTGAACACATCACACCAGACCATGGAGTTCACCACCTCGTTGCAGAGGAAATAGGGCGCCAACTGCCCACCAACTGCCAACCGCATGGCGCCATGAGCGGTGGGTGGATCCTCTGGATCTTCTGTCGGCGCCGGCTCGCTAGTGAAACCTGTGTTCTAGCGCCCCCGGAGGGACAACAGTGAACACAGTCGACCAAGCACAGTTGACCTGTATATAAAGAATATTAAAGAATCTATAGAGGTCGGAGATTCAGTTCAAGCCCCAAGGCCCCAAGCTTCTACTCCTCCCCATCAAGTCAATCACTTGGACCAATTGGATTTCACCAGCAGCAAGTGCCCTAGACTCTGGGCGCTCTAGGGCTTGTCACGTGGTAAGGCACAACGAATGAAAATTTACTCGAAAAACCAACCACTCAACTGGTCTTACTCCGAGAAAACGACCAACCAAACATCCCTCCCGCACCGCGCCTCTGCCTTGGCTTTGTCCTCCGAGCCCAGCATCAAACCCCGCTCGCTATCCTCCGCCATGGCCCGAACTCTCGCTGTGCCGCCGGGGGGCCCGCGGAGGAAGGCTTCCGCGCTTGGGCCAAAGATGTCCCCTGGCTCGGTGGATGGATGAAGCTCTGCCAACCTTCGATCCATTTCATGCGTCCTACACGTACGACCTGTGCAAGGCAATTCGTAAAGCCTCAAAGCCTCACTGCCTGGCACACGACTCACACGACCATCGGCCTTCCGATCGCCGCGCGTGTAACGCGGACCTCCGCCCTACGAGTGGAACTCGCACCCAACGTGACGCGTTTTCACGCGCGTCGCCACGCACGCAGGCAGCTGGATGCGTTTCGACGGACGGCGTTCAGCGCCGTGGGTCCAAAAGGAAGGAGCTCGCAGCTGTTTGACGTGCCCCTGTGACCTGTGGTTCTTGGAGACTTCGTGCTCCCTGTGGTTCTTGGGCGCCCATCCGTGGGTTTGTCCCCACCAGTGGTGAAAAGGGGGTCAATCTGGTGGTCTCTTTGACCAGACGGTCCTGAAAGTACAGAACTGGACTCAAACGTGCTGCTTGGCTACAAAGCGATTGGCGGTCGGCCTACCACCCCATGAACCATCCCCAAAATCACCCAGCACCCCATCCAACTCTGATCCCGCAGCGGCAAAGGCTCGTCCAGTCTGCAAAAGAACTCCTGTGGTGTCGTCCATCCATCCTGACTCGTCCAGGAACCGCCGTCGGAGTCGAACTTCACTTCCCTCACGCCTCGGTGTGCCTCTGTTCGAAGCCTCTGGCGATGAACATCGCCTCTGCCGGGGAGGGGGAAAACACGGTGTGGGAGGGGGCCCAGCAACGGAACTGTGACCCCAAACCAAATCAAAAAGAGAAACTCATGTCTGCAACTTTAACTTGTAAAGTGAGACGCTCGAAGCTTGAAAGCGCAGGTAGCTTTCCAATTTCACCACTCAGAATGATATTCCCAGGTTGCGGGTGAGGGGGAACTCTGGGCAAGGGTAGCTTCAATGACAATGTACTTCGGGTGTTCTGGAGGGTGCTTTTCAGGTCTGTATAAAAGGATTTCTTCGACCCATCTGCAAATCCAGATCACTTTGTTCACATCGCAAGATGTCGAGCAAATTAGCAACGGGCGAGACACCTTTGGCCAGTAGCTGTACAAAGCTCTACATCTTTCCTGCCACCCCTCTCATGGGCCTCGTGTTGATAGCCCATCTGGTTGTCCTGTACAATGTAAACCATAAACCCTCTTGAGTCCATCGATTCTCATGCAGAAAAACTCCCTTGGCTGCCTAAAACCTAAACTCGGCTGGCTGCCAAGCGTGAAAATTGGCCCGAATCACACTGACTCACACTCCGAATCACTGTCGGAATCCAGAGCCTGAAAACGGTTCCCACAGATGTTCCCCAGCACCGTCTTTGTGTCTTTCAACCAGGCGCGCAGGCTCAGGGCATTCGCCACGATCTGGACCGCCCTCCTGGGGAGATTTTGAGCATCGGCATCGGGCGGAATTGTTGGGGTAAACCAGGTTTCCAGAGCATCTGCTCCTCTAAATCTTTGATCCCAAGGGGTCCTAAGTAACATCATATCCAATGAGAGTCCTGCCTCTCGAGCTTGATAGTAGGGCTTCTTCAACCCACTTCACTCGACGACTCAGTGCGTGTGCGGGTGCGGGTGCGGGTGGGTGTGTGTGTGTGTGACACCCTTGGAGTCACAGGGACGTGCAGCAGGGGCGTGCAGCATCTGTGCAGCATCTGCACGCAACGAAGCTATGATCACAGATGGGAAGGGATCAAGGACGCTTGATCCTGTACCTGCTTGAGAACACCTTGACTCCAATGGTCCTCCGTCGCTCAGGCTGTTTCTAGGTGAAAACCAGGCGATGGTGTAAAGTGCCAGTGAGTTCTGCAGATGTGCACGTTCGTCGTCATCCTGTCGCTCTAGTCCGCTTTTCGAGCTCTTCGAGTTTGGTGAATGTTCATGGAGGTTTCTCTGAGGCCTCATGGTCAGAATGCCTTACGGCCTTACGTGTCTTAGGTGTTCACTTAGGCTGGCGAGTGGCAAACCGCAATCGAGTCAGTACCCAATTTCTTGAGTGTGTGTGTGTGTGTGTGTTTGTGTTTCGTTCACGTTTCGTCCAAACCTGCCTCAGGCCCATGAGATTGCCAGCATCAGGCCCCACTTGAAGGGATGCCAAGGCCCCTACGACGAAGAGCTGTTTGAAGTCTCCCCACTGTAGGTCTTGCGACAACACTGGAAAGCCTCCGACCACCTCTGTCGGGGCAGTTCTCAGCAGCTCACGCACCAAGGGCAAATGTCGGCCATCTGCACGGTGCCCGCAAGCATTCACGATCAGATCGAAGCGATTCACTTGGCCATCGATCAAGACATCCACCGCCTCCGCCCAGACGTGGGAGAGCTGGACTTCACCCTGTTTACATACCAAACGTCCCGAGGCTTCTGCTTCCCGAATCTCTTTCATGTAGAAGGGAGGCACACTACCCCCACCTCTGGTGGCTTTAATGTGCTCCAAGCGTTCTTCCATTGGCTTCTGGAAGAACTCATAATGATGGACATTCGCACGGCGCCGGTCAAACCACCTCTCACCGATGTCGAAATGCCGCGTGGTCAGAGGGCGACGGCTTAAGAGAACCACTTCGCAGTCTTTCTTCAGAGCCAGCTGTGCGACTTGGACTGCAGTTAAGCCACCCCCTATCACTAGGACACGCTTCTTGCCGGAAAGCTCCTGCAAACGAGCACCGCATTCGAAATCCGAATGGAACATGAGATGCTCAGGAACTGGTGCCAGTGCGCCTGGAAAGGCGGCAGGCCCTGGCACACCCAGCGCCAGAATTACGGTCTGCGCGAGGATCGGCTGCCCATCTTTGAGAAAGACGGTAAAGTCTCCATCATCACCTTCTACACTGGTCACCTCTCCATGAATGAAGCTATGAGGAAGCCGAGCTGCCAGATCTCCACAAAACTGCTCAAAGAGCTCGTTGGACGGAAGGTTCCAAAGCCCTTGCCCCGCCTCTGGCAGTGATCGAAGGTCTGCATTCACCGCGCCCGAGTCCAGGAGCTCATCACAGCGCTCGGTTCGCGTGGCAAAGGCCAGCAAGCTGTGCATGTCGAAGATATCCGGATGTGCTCCGACAGGTGACCGCAACCATTGGATCTGCAGAGCCTTGAAGCGCGCGTGCCAGGTACTTAACCAACCTCCAGGGTCCACCACGCAGACTTTGGGAGGGATCCGATCCTTCCGGTGCTTCAAGTCCACATGCGCCACGCGGTTCCATTGATCTCGAGAGAGCTGGTCCAGGGAATAGGGTTCGGTCATGGCGGACAGCGCCGCCAAGCCACCCGGCCCAGCACCCACAATGCAGACATCAAACGTTTCGCGCATCCAACTCAAGGATTTGTCAGTGGGGCCCGTGGTTCTTCAGACGCCGGAGCCAAATGGCCTGGAATAAAAATGGTACACCACCTGGCTCACCCCAAGCCTCAGTACCTCCAGTCTTGAGCAATTGAACATGTTCCAGAGATAGAAAACAGTGGCTGTTTTGCAAAAGAGACATGGGCCTGGGCCGGCACAAACATCGAAACTCCTACAGGTCGCCTTCCGAAAGAAGGCCATCCTTCACGAAAGGTGCTCTGTGATTTTCCCCGACTTCTTGGGGCTCGAACCGCTCGTCGGCAAACCCATGTGTTCCATCTTCCTCGAATCGAACCGCTCGTCGACAGGATCTGGTCCATCCGAATCGAACCGCTCACCGACGGACACGACGCCCAGACACCGCGGCCCGGGCTCCGCCGCCTGGCGGGATGGCACGGGTCCACGGCGCAGCCAAGCCCTGGCGCGGTGGGGTGGTCCACACCGAGCAGCGAAGAGGAATGTGGGGCTAGGCAGCCGAAGGAGTGTTGAGGCTTCAGACTTCGAAGAAAGAGAAAAAAAACAAAGATGTTTTGGAGAATGCTGAATACACAGATTCCTCGCATGAACAAGCTGCTCGCACAAAAAAAAAGGATGCGTCCAAGACTCCGAGACATGTTCCAGTCAAACAAGTCAAAGCAAAAAGCCAGAGTCTCGCTTGGTCTCGCACAAGCAGCGGATTTGTGCAACCCGGAATGTGGGTTCCAACATCTTGTTGTGAAAAGCTCGAGACTCTTCGGTCAAGTGGAAAAGCAGGGCATCCCTGCTCTTTAGAGCAGGGAGCCTCAGTGCATCCCTTGAGGACTTCCACTTGCTAGTCGAAGCTTCGAGTGTAGATGAGCACGAACTCCGGGTAGATCTGTGCTTCATCAAAAACGACAAATTCTCTGTAGGTGTCAACTGCTGCTTCCCGATCACCTAGAACACATTGAAATCGTCCTGTCGCTAGAGCGTCTTCAATCCTTGGGATATTGGACTCCGTGATATAGAACATGTTGCCCAGGAGTGTGCGGCACAGCAACAACGCGAACTTGCCTGCAAAGAGGCCACTAGGATCTTCCGTCGCATACTCATCGCTCTTGCTGGAGGCCTCTGCCAGGTAGGCACCGGCTCCAAACCTTGGAGTGGCAGCTCCGAATCGGAAAAAAAAGGAAACAAGCAGAAAAATCAATCCGCCAGGAAGACGTCTTTTCGGGAAAACAAATCACAAAACCAAGACACATGGTGCCCACATTGGAACCGACACGGCCCATATCGAAGCCGTTCTCGCCGATGCCCAGGGCCCCACCAGGAGAGGAACCGTGAAAGAGAAACGCTTCCTCGGAGAGAGGGTGTCTGGCTTTCACGGAACACGAAACAAAAGCTCCTCTTGGGTCCAAAATGTTACAGCCAAATCGGTGTGAGCTGAAATCGGTGTCTCATGCACCGCTACACAAAAACTAGAACCAACAGTCACTAGACCGGGGTGCCGAACTTGGAGGATAGGGGTGCCCCTGTCACATCCACTCACTGGATAGGACTAAAAACCACCCCGTCTTGTGACTCCTGGAAGGAATTGATATATTTCTCTTGATTAAGCTTGAAATGGTTCACCTGAACAAACATAGCATGCATTGTCTTTCTGAAAGTCGACCATGTTAACGGATGTGTAGGGATTTGAGACACCAACATCCTCAAATTTGGCAGCCAAAGCGTCGTTCAGATTCACCGTCAACTCCTTGAGACACGATGGCAGCTCCTCGGCATCAGCCTCAGCCGAGGTTTTGATGGGACCACTGCCCGGCATCTCCTCCATCAACTTTGGTTGGCCTCACAGGCTGACGGCTGACGGAGGGCCACGACGTCGGAGCAGCTGCTCGACGTCCTGGACTAGCCGATCGCACAAAAGGACACAAACCACTGGACTAGCAGTGACTAGCCGACGAACCCTGCCCAATAGTCCATGGGCCACTATCTCAAGTGGGCAGTACTCTTCACCAAGCCTTAGCTCTCTCTCTCTCTCTCGCTCTCTCTCTCGCTCTCTCTCTCGCTCTCTCTCGTCTCGATTTCATATCGTCCCAGCCTCTAACTGCCAGTTCTGCGCGTTTTTGCTCGAAGCGGCGCCACATCTTGCTATCTTCCATGCGAACCACCTGGTTCACCACCAGCCTGGTTGGCATGCCATCACTCATTCGATCTCGGGTAGCCTTATTCTTGTAGGTCACATCAAGCAGCTTCTGCATCTTCTCTCTCTCATCTGCCGACAAGTTGATCTTCTCATCAAAGTCTTTCTCTAAATCTTGGTTCTTCCAATAGGAGGGAACACCCACAGGCAATTCAACTGGTGGTCCCACATCTGCCAGCTCTTCCTTTCCCTCTTTTCCCTCTTCCCAGGCGGGCTTCGCACCCTCGCGAAGCTCGAAGCTTCGCTTGGGAGTCTCTCGCTGCACCTTGCGAAAGGCTTTAGAGGCAGCATCTGTGCGCTTGGCACGGCTGTGTTTGGGATCGTCTTCCCACAGCTCCTCATGTTTGTGAGAGAAGTGCTTTAGCACCTCCCAGTTGATTTTGGTGCACTTAGAAAAGAAGTAGCATCTGTAAGGCACACTCATCAAAAAGATGGTGCATACCATGTAGAACCAGTACGTCATCCACCAGGGTCTCGCATGGCTGTCATCCGTCCCTTCTCTGAGAATCACCATCACATTGCTCTTGTGGTGGCAGTCAATCAGATTGTGTGATCTTTTGTCTTGATGTGAGTCGCGGGTGTTGTCGCGGAAGAATATCTCTCGCCTCTCAGACAAGCGCTGATCTTCCTCGTCGTCCACTGGATGATACTCCAGTGGCATTTCACAGAGCAAGATGAGTGATGAGATAGGTGCCTTTTTGTTTGCCTCCAAATCCTCGTGCTCACCATCATACATCAAATGGAACATGGCAATCATTTGTGCAGGTGAAAGAGTCTCGTCAACGAAGCCATTGATGTCATAATGTTGTTCAGCACGATGAGTGTTGACCCTCTCCCTTTTTGTCTGTTGCTTGCCATTGCTATCTGTATACTGCTTCGTTTCATAATGATAGCACTGGATCGTCCACTTAATCTTGGGCTCTGCTTCTTGCAACTCTTTCACATAGCCTTGAAAGTCAGTCTCACTCAAGATCCAACAGAGGTACTTGGAGGTTTTGCTCCTGCAAAGAGCTTCTATCAGATGAAACAGATAGAGGATGATGCCAGTGCCGAAAATGATGAGGCCAACACTTTCTTGGTTCAGAGTCAGAGCTCCAAAGACGATCATGCCGGCACCCACAACTCCTCCAATGGCACTGCAAATGGTCATTGGAGTCAACCTCTCACGCTCACCACCTTCCATGCTGAAAGAACCAGCTACAAAGTGCTGGAGTATCCAAAAGGTGTTCTGAGAGGTTTGAGCAAAAAGGCTCACAGGTGCAAACTCCATCAGCCGGTGCAAAAAGACAAAGCCAATTTGGAGTAGGCAAAGAAACTACGTTGCGCCCACGGAACTGCTGGCAAATCATATTGGACATCTAAGTTGGAGACCCCGCAGGACAACTGCCCGGCGGACTGGTGATCCACGGGTCTGCTCGAGGCAAATCAGTGCTGGAGGTGGTGTACTGCTGCCTCCTGTCCGGCTGGAGATGAGCCAACACATGTCAAGACACAGCTTTTCTTGCCACAACAGCCACGTTCAAAAGTTTTGTCGTCTTTGGCAACAAGTCTCCAGCCACGAGATTTCAAGTTTACATACAGCCTATCTCTTGGAAGCCCCTCCTCTCTGTGTCCATGACAGGCTGTCCATGTTTGGGTTGGAACCATCACCACGAGTGGATGATGATGATGATGACGACGACGAGGAGGATGATGATGATGATGATGATGATGATGATGATGATGCGTGAAGGCCCTTACCGAGGAATGTGCAAAAATGCATAATGCACATGGTAGACTGTCTTTACAAATTCCAATGCCTGAGATGCCTTCACCCAGTCTCTTCTCCTTGAAGTTCAAACTCACATCAAAAAACTGTTCACAAAAACGGAACGTGTTTTTGTGAATCTCCGGAATTGTAAATCTTCCTGCACACTGCCACACCTTCTTCTTTCCCAAAACCCTAGGCCCTACACGCATCTGCCTGGGTCGGACCGTGTTTCTGCCAGAGAAGTGTATGGCCTCCGAAAAAAAGGGGAAATCTGCGAATCCGGACTTGGAAGCCCCGTTCCCATGTCTTCCAAAACCATCCAAAAAGACCCAAGAAAAGCGTTCTCCTTGCAACTAGGATCTCATCTACCAGGCCGCTGGGTGAATCAGAGCTGTCAATCTCTCACCTGCGGTTTCATGTTGTCAAGACGCTCAGCTGTAGTGGCGGGAATCCATTGAACTGATTGGGCACTCAGCTGCGTGGTGACGATTCCCAAAAATCGTGAAGCATGGCCACCCCCGCAGCTTGCTTGGCTAAAACACGAAAACACAAGAAACTGGGAGTGTTTGGGGGTTCTGTTCTGTCCAAAAATCAGCCTTCCTCGGACCAAACGCACCGTCCTCAAAGCCCCCCATGCCTCGGAGGAAGTCATCTTCTCCTGAGTGAAAGCTATGTTGCGACGTTTCACACAAGAGAGTCATCAAGTTGAATTGCCAATAAGCAACGCTCTTTGCAAAAAAAACGGAACAATACTGACTCAAAAGCCAAATCTGCACAAAATCTGCGCGAAACCCATTGACTCTGCCAACAGGTCTCGTTGACATGTCCCTTTGTGTCATTGTCAATGCCTACGGTCGATCAACATCACTATCAGAAAGCCAGATTCTTTTTTGGGGCGCACACACATTGCAATAAGGCCTCCAAGCAAACATAACAACTGATTTGCGGATATGTCTTGCAGCGAAACCATCGATCACGAGGTCGGAAAGTCATTCACCAGGTCACCTTTCGAAGAATTAAAAACAAAAAACACCACGCCCCAGCTGGACTGAGTTGCTA